CGTGGCAGTAGCAGCAGCAGCAGCAGCAGGAGCAGGAGCAGGAGCAGGAGCAAGGAGCAGGAGCAGGAGCAGTAGCAGTAGCAGTAGCAGCAGCAGGAGCAGGAGCAGTAGCAGTAGCAGTAGCAGTAGAGCAGTAGCAGCAGCAGCAGCAGGAGCAGGAGCGGGAGCGGGAGCGGGAGCAGGAGCAGGAGCAGTAGGAGTAGTGGTAGTAGTAGTAGTAGTAGTAGTAGCAGTAGCAGCAGCAGCAGTAGTAGTCGTCGTCATAGGTCATGGGTAGACCCAAGAAAATTAGGAGCACCTTCAGAACTTTAACATGCTGAAAGAGCAGAAACTGGACTACGCCACGGGCCCTGGCACCTGGAACAAGAACGTAAGCTTCGGCGTGAGCTTTGGGAGCTTGCTGTGCTCAATGAACTCGAAAGCACCTAAAACGCAAGGCTTGGGTTCAGAATGGATTTGTTTTGTAAGGTTGGAGGTCCAACTACCCAGATGGTAGCATGTAATTAGTAGGTATACAAATGACAGCTGATAGTGTCTAGTTGTATCTATTCGTACAAATGCTTGTGAAATCTGAATCTTGACTACTATCCGTATCACGGAAATGTTGGATCAACTAAATATGACTAGATATGATCAGTAACCCTTCATATAGATACGTAAAGTAAGCTGGCCTCTGGTGTGAAGGCCGCATTGCAAAAGGCCTTAACATGGGATTAGGGCTCAGGACTTTTAGGGTTTCGGGCTCCTGTTATATACGGCTTCCCTTTAGGGTGGCTATAAGGGAAACCCTAAGGGTCCATGTACCCAAATATGATTCTATCATATTATATGATATACTTTGGCCCCACTGTACCTATATAGAGACTACTTGAAGGCCAAGGTATATACTATATATATATATATACACATACTATATGAGTCCATGGACCCTTAGGGAAAGGGACACGTCCAAGAAGGGCTCTTTTAGGCCCTCGCTCGCACGCCCCCGGATCTCCTCGATGGTCATGCCCCGATCCTTGAGATCCTGGCAGAACCCTAACCCCCCAGGTACCTACTATATAGGGCCCTTGGGGCTCTAGTACCCTATATAGTAGGTACCTGGGGGGTGAGGGGAAGGCGAGGAGGAGGTGGGAAGGGAGTTTTAAGGATTACGGTTTCAGGGTCTGGAGTTTTAGGATTTTGGGATTTCGACTCTCGCCCTGCTTGCGCGGGTGTCCTCGTGGTTCAGTGTTTCAAGCTTTTTTTGGGGTTGCTGACAGTTTTGGCTGCTCACTGAGGCAGAAGTCCAGAATGGCACGTAATCCGGAACATGCTGCAGTTTGTCCACAGTCTCTGCTTGGCTGTCCTGCTACGCTCTGAAACCTTTGCTGGCTCAGTACATTAAATGATCTACGTACCAGTTTGTTATACTACACACCCATGCAATGTACAATATTCTTACACTGTAAACTGAAATATACTCGAATACAAACAACACAAATATACTATCCGCCTTGATCATGTTCGCCTCGATCTTGGAGAGTTTCATCTCAGTGCCTGGGGACTGGCTTTTGCCGGCAGGGAAGGAATCCTGTCGGGTTCCTGAACCCTAGGGCTCCAGTTACCTAGATAGTGGGTTACTAACCATATATTATGTACCCCAGTAACCTACTATTTAGGTAACTGGAGCCTTAGGGGAAGGCAGGAAACCATCTTTTCTGTTTTGCCACAAATCCTCCCTCAGGGCTGCACATGCCAGAGCATAGTCCTGAAAGGATTACAATCTTCGGCCCGTGACACATCCGATTGCAGATCCAGGCCTTCTTGCTCCACATGGGCGGGTGCCGGTAACCAAATGGCGTCAAGTAAGAAGGCTGTCGCCACCATTTCTGCGACGCAAGAGTGTCGTATGACAAGCAGCATTGCAGAATGCTTCAGCACGGCGCCTTTATCATGTTCTTTGGCAGGTCTATCCACTTGCCCTGCTCGGAGTCCCAGCCGGTCTTGAAATCCTGCTATGCCAGAACGGTTTGAGTTTAAACTGTACTCCGTCGGCAGCATGCGCTTCTGTGACTACGACAGCTACACGGCGATTTACACGCCCTCAGCAGGGAATGTGCTATTACATCTCGAGTCGCCACTTTAGAGCGATCGAAGTCCGCAGCCGTCATTTCTAAAGATAGGTTGCTTTGACATACGAAGGCGTGTGTACGTCCGATAGCCACACTTCGTATTGGGACGGCGCATAAGTAGCAGGGCAGAAGACTTTCTTTCGTAAATTGATCGTATGCAGGTGTCTGTATGTTGTTCCCCGGAAAAAGTTGAACAGCAGGAGTCTGGAAAATCTTATATAGGCCTCACAGGTCTTATAGGCACTGAAATTTAACATGAGGTGCTGAAGAAGGCAAAGGAGCCTTGGGATCTATTCGCCACACGCTGTCGATCTCAAGTGCCGCCTTGGTTTGCAGCTTTGCAGGGAGAATGGAGTGGCAAAGCGGCATAGGACATACATACATGTATATACATATAC